GAGAGAGAGAGAGAGAGAGAGAGAGAGAGAGAGAGAGAGAGAGAGAGCGAGAGAGCGAGAGAAAGAGAAAGAGAGAGAGAAAGAGTGTGTGCATGCACACACGTGTGTATGTTTTTAGGTATCAGACCCTTAGGCTAGATAGTTTCTGTTCAGAGGAACAGTATGTTTTTACCACACTTGCTGAGCTGGACACATTGCTCCCACACAAGTGTGAACATCAAGGTCATGAGTGTCTCAACACATTTGCTTATTTTTCAGTCACTTGACTTAACTTCCCACACAATTAAAGGTCAGCGAGAACAGTGCTGATAAAGCAAAGAGATAAGAGATAATTTGTATCATTGCACTGTGAAGATGTGACATTCTGTATCAAACAACATTTAGTGGTGTTTAGTTCTGTGTTATAGGACGCAAGAGAGAAGAGGTTGATGAGACGAGGCAGATGAATCAGCACCTCACTTCCTGTTTCAGCAGACAGGAAAGCTAGTTGACAGCAAATTCCTTCCTTCCAAGGTCTTACTTTATCTGCTATCATTTCTGTCCAAAGTTGATATTAATATTGTTAAAATTATTTAAATATTATTTTAAAAACTTTCCTAAAACTAGAAAATAAAAGTTTTTTTATCTAAACGTTTACATCAAGGGTAAAGAAACGATATGGGAAAGGGTGTTGATGTTTTCTGTTCTTATAAGTCGGTCTTAGACTTTGCTTGGAATAGTGCCTTCATGTGTGTCAGTTAGTGGTTCGTTCAGTTGTGCATGTGTGGAGTCAGCTCTGTGTACTACACCTTTACATCTTCTCTATGTGTTTGTATATAAAGTACAGAACATCTATTTGCTGGTACTTGATTTTTGTTATTTTGTTACTCCCGCTCCAGCATGAAGCTCAGAATCCATTTACTAACAACAAATCCACTTAGGGCGCAAAGGTTTAGTTCATCCATGTATTTAAAGTCTAACAACAGGTTTAATGTTACTAGCAACCTGAAGAGTTTATTAAAATAAACCTCCTTAGATTATTTTTTCTGTCTTTCAGTTGATGAGTTTGAACTGAAAGGATGTCATTTTCAGTTCACTTAAGAATACTGAATTTAGTCATGCACAGTATCTTTTTTCTTTTATCCAACCCACTCCATTTTGCTATCTCAACTTTCTACTACCGTATTTTCCGGCATATAAGTCGCAGTTTTTTGCAGAGATTTGTCAGTCCTGCGACTTGTACGTCAAAGCAACTTATATATTTTTTTTCCATATGCATAACAACATTTTTGACTGACTCTTTAAATTTCTAAGAACTGCAACAGCGAGTCCTCTTGTGCCTGCTTGCTTCACTCAGCTGGTGCAGGAGGAGGAACACTGAAGAGCTCACGGCTTCAGCCGCAATGGATGGATGGATGGATGGATGGATGAGTGGATGGATGGATGGTGCTGCATCACCCAGGTGAAATGAAGCTGTTTTGACCATTAAATAAACACATAATAAACGTGACGGGTCAGCGGTGACGTACAATAAATGCGACTTATACACCAGAAAATACGGTACTTTTATTTTCTTTATGCAGGTTTCCACTGGTTGTTTTATTTGCTAACTAAACTCTTTCTTCAACCTTTTACCTTTTATTGTTTTCCTCTAACCTTGGTTTGAATCAAATCACGTTATCGATGAGTTACACTGAGCTATAGACCAGAAATTAGTTGGTAGTAGAGCTTCAGAATGGTGATCTATCTCTGTTTATCCATTTGCTCCACATTGACTCAAAACTTTCAGCCATCTCACATCCAGTAAATCACCACACTTTTACTGCATTTTTTTAGCTTTGGGCTAAAGTACTTTCTTTTCCTCTGTTGTTGTAAGACCCTGAAAAGGTTTAGATCATTAATTCTGTTGAATAAGTAAGGTATGGAGGATGTGGGTTAAATTAATGGTAACAAGACGTTTATTGTTTAGAGAACATGCAGTTTTATTACTGAACAGGATAATAAGCCTTTACCAAATACTGTTGTGTGTTATTATTGTGTTAATATGTTGTATGCCCCTTGTTGCTGCATTAGTCCCTTCCAGAGAAGCCTTATCTGTCTGATGCACTAAATCTAAAATGCCGCGCTGATGCCCTCCATCTCCCACCCTCCTTCTCCCACCCTCCTTCCACAACTTTCTTCACTTTAAAAGTAACCAATTCTTTTGTGTGAAGTATTCAAATTCATTCAACCTTAAAAATATTTTTACTTGGAAAACAATCAGTGATATTTACATTATGTTTGCTGCATAACATCATGCCAAAAGTTTACCTTTGTATCTGAACAGTAAAGAGCCTTCTAGGGCCAGTCAATACAAAATGAGATTTAAAATCTTTATAATGCATTTCCTCAGTTTAGTAAATCATTAGATACAGATTTGTAATCTGTTCCATTAGTTTTGTAAATTGTATGCACAGATTTACAATGCATTACTTCAATTTTACTAAATACATGATCAGATTTGCAATGTTTTCAAAAATATTTGAAACATTTCAGATATCCTTGAACCTGAGTTTCATTCTGTCCTTGTAATCACGTTGCTGAACATGTTCGGAGGTTCTGAGTAATTATCAGTCATAGTTTTGTCCTCTGTATCAAAATATTTATTAAGAACGTGTACACAGATTAATCCTTTACTTTTACTATTACTTTACTGTTTTATTTTCTACAACTCAGCTTACATCTTACATGCTCATGTCACCTCTTTCCTCAACCAAAAAAATCTCCCAAGTCTTTTGCGATCACAGCTTAACCAGAAGAACGAGAAACTTCTTGTGATTCTGTTTCTGGTGCTGAATTTTCACCATATTTTCTGTGTGTGTTTGAGTGGATGCATGCACGTTGCAGGTTTGTGTCTTTTGATGTGCAGCGCTCGTGAGTGTGACCATCTGAGGAATGTTCAAGCATGCTTTCAGGCACAAGGCGCAGAATATTAATGTTGTATTTGCAAGTGGCAACAGAGCTCAACAGGACAAATAAATAAATAAATTCAACCAAATCTTATGCAGGATTAGTTTTTATTATATCATAGAGCCTTCTCTGCTCTAAAACTATGTAGCAAATATCAGAGAATTGAACCATTTATTTGTTGCACGCTGCAGATCTCTTTTTTCTTATTGCATGCTTCCAAAAGCAAAGGGCAGTAGTGAAATGTGTTTACTTGTTTGAAGATTTAGCAAAATATCTACCATTTCGGTGTGGTAGCTGGTCACCATTCGTAACACATACTGTACTTTGGCCACAGCACAATGTTCAATATTTTTGCTCTGAACATTTGCATTAACTGTTGGCATCATCCCTGTCTGTTAGCAAAATATCTCAGGAGGCCTTGGACACATTTTATTAAAACTTGTTTGAAAAATGTTGAATCTACATCAACCAGTGATTAACTTTTATAGTCACACAAACTAAAGTTGGCAGCCACAGCTAATCCATGTGTGCCAACACAAAACTATAACTCGGTCAACGTTACAGATAAACTATGGGTTTAACTACTAAACTCTGGTGTGGTCTCCGTCCAGTGGACCTGACTTCTTAGTTCAATTTTTCTACCTGGATTATTGAGCAGCATCAGAAAAACAACTCTAACTTTGTCAGTTCTCAGTATAAGCTTATCTCAGTTTATAAGTCTAGAATGAAAGTCAGAGGGCAACATGCATTTCTCTTTTTTACATTATGTTTGTATTTAAACCTAGATTTTACATGTCACCTGAGTAAAAACATTAAAGCTCAAAGGTCATTTTTGTTATTCTACAGTAGAATGAGATGTTATTTTAGTGTACTTTATGCAGGCAGCGACTCCTGGGCTCCATCTGACAGAACCAAGTAGAACACAAAATAATGGAAGAGACAAGTCCTTCCTAAAACACTTACAAGTTGCCTTCCTGGCTTCTCACACCTAACCTCCTCAAGCCAAAGTCCACAAAGTCAATTTTATAACTTTTCACTTACTGAAACTTTTAGAAAACTTTCTTTAACTAAATCCCAAGGGTTTGCTTAAAGCTGGTGCTCAAAAATCACACCCAAATCTAATTGAGATTTTCTCAGCAACTGGTAAGATTAAAAATGGCAAAAGGTACGAAAAATTTTAGTATATTTTGGCAAACACGAGTGATAATTCTGGTCTAGTTTTGCTCCAGATTGAATCCTGGGTGTGATAAAAACCTAAATTTTCAGACATGCTGGTTGTGTGTAGAAACTGACCGAGTTATTTGGTAGAATTTGTTTTCTTGCTGATTCAACTGCTTGTAGTTTCAACTGTTTGGTGTTCGTAGAAATAGTTTTTATGAGCTTTTAGTCAATATTCTGACATTGCAATGGATACGGTGGCCGTGAGGTGTAAATGAACATTGGAAAAAACAGAATTACATTAAGCCAAAGCGGGACTGGCCAAAGTGGAAGTGGCCGAAGCGGAAGTGGCCAGAATTACATAAAAAAAAAATGGAATTACATTTGAAAAAATGGAATTGCATTAAGCAAAACTGGAAGTGGGCAAAGCAGAAGTGGCCAAAGTGGAAGTGGCCAAAATGGAAGTGGCCAAAATGGAAGTGGCAAAAGTGAAAGTGGCCAGAATCATATTTGAAAAAAATGGAATTACATTTGAAAAACAGAATTATATTTGAAAAAATGGAATTACATTTGAATAAACGGAATTGCATGAAGCCAAAGTGGAAGTGGCCAAAGCGGAAGTGGCCAGAATCGCATTTGAAAAACAAAATTACATTTGAAAAAATGGAATTGCATTAAGCAAAACTGGAAGTGGGCAAAGCAGAAGTGGCCAAAGCAGAAGTGGCCAAAGTGGAAGTGGCCAAAATGGAAGTGGCAAAAGTGAAAGTGGCCAGAATCATATTTGAAAAAAATGGAATTACATTTGAAAAACAGAATTATATTTGAAAAAAT